GACTGACAACAAAATGATCATTATTTAGCTGTACTGATTCTATAATGCAGTTCTTCCCATATCAATGGGGCCAGAGCGACAGTACAGTCAGTAAGTTTGCAGTATAGGTTCGATCCTTAGTTCTCCTGCGCATAACAGGCCCTAGGAACCAGGATTGTTCCAGAGTTTTACATGAAGGTCCTTCCAATCAACTGTTTGACTCGGTCATGGGGTTAAAAGCCGCAGACGAACTTGGGGCCGTACGATGGAAGACTGAAAAATTTATCTGAAATGCTATTATTTTCCAGAAGCTGAGTTGGAGGCGACGCTAATCAATTTCCACATACAAGAAAACAGGAAAGCTCACAAAACGGATGAGTACGAGATTGAACAATTGCTACTAAGAAGAGGGCAGGTGTTTGATGTCACAGTGAAGTTCAACAGAGAATACAAGCCCGAGAGGGATGTTATTGCTCTTCTATTTATAATTGGTAAGACTCAATTCAGTTGTTGTTGACTGTCTTCAGGACTGTTGGTAATTGAGTTAGAAACAGCAATAGCAGTAGTGTTAGTGGTAGTAATGTAGTCAGCAGTCAATAGCCAGTGGTAATAATAGCGGCATCAGCATTTTTCACTACTTAATTAGAAGCAGCAGCAGCAGCAGGAACAATAGCTGTAGCAGACGCAGTAGTCGCAGCTGTAAATTTTAGTCAGTGGCAGAAGGACTGGGAGTAACAGCAGCAGCAGCAGTGGTAGTTGAAGTTAGTAACAGTAGCAGCTTTCAGTCAGTGGAAGTACGACTAGCACCGATAGCGGCAAGCATTTTTTTGCAACAGTAATAGTAACAGTAGCAGTAGCCTTACGAGTCAATTAAACGTATCATAGTCGATGAACGGTGGAGATAAGTGGCAGTAGTAGCAGTAGTATACATGTATAGATACTCGTAAATTTTAGCACAGAAGGCCACTAGTTTATCAGTTTATATTGTCATGTATCACTCTAGATATAGTTGTTTGATTGATTGATTGATTGATTGATTGATTGATTGATTGATTGATTGATTGATTGATTGATTGATTGATACCTTTATTTTGACCAAGTATTTCTATCAGTGTTATGTGAACATCCAACAGAAGCCCTGAATGGTGGGTGTTTTATGTTCTTCAGATAAAAATTTTGACCAAAAGAAAGTGGCTATTGTGCGAGTCGAATTCTGTAACGCTCTCCTTCGTTGGAAATGGGGAATGCAGATTAAAGAAGCCAACGGAAACACGGTTCGTCTGTCAGTCATGTCCTCCGTTCAAGCTACGGTTGGCTATTACAATGTGAGGGTGGAGACAAAGTCTCAGGATTCCTTTGGAGAGACATCCCTGTATCAACTGAAAAACGGTCAACAGATTTGTTTCATGGAAGATAACTGAGGCAAGCTGGGAACTTAATTAGTAGTTGTCTTTGAGGATAATTTCTGTAAAGGTTTGGCGTCCGACGCGTTGAGGTTTATTGTTCAGAGTCGCGTGGAATCTTGGAATGTTTTCGATTAATTGTTCGGAAAAGACAATTGCCTACATTCCCTTCAATCAATGCTTCACTCTGAATAAATTGCCCTCTTTTTGTCAATCAGCCATGTGCCTTTTTCCATCATTACGAAGATCGCAAATTGTAAACAGTCAAAGAATACTCCGTTTGTAATTGTTTACATGTATATCCATTCCTAGCAAAGGAACTAGCATCTTGCTAACATAAAGATCAAAAGTCTGAATCACAGGACGTTATACTTTGAGGACATTTTAAATAAATTTACTGTAGGTTTAGCTATCAGTTCAGAAGAACTGGGGAGCTGTTAGCTGACAATCAAGGGTTTAAGGGAGATTTGTATAGATGTACTTCAACGTATGGCGATCTCCCAATCAAGGCCATAATGCTTATGTGAATCTCAAAATGATGATGATCCTTTCTGCTTGTGTGAATGAGTTAAGATTTCAGAAATTGTAGACCTCCTTTCACTCGAATAAGACAAAGATTGAACGAAACTCAAGTGATTTAACACGCTCATTTCATTCTTATTAATAGTTTCCATGAAATTTTTAAAAGTAGTTATTAAAACCAAGCTGCAGAATACACATTTTCCAACCCATGTGGTAATTGCCATAATTAGTGAACGGTGGAATACCAAATAAAATGTCGTAAAAAAAACCTTGATATGTTTTCTGAACCTGAATTCACTAGTAATAACTCTCGACTAGCAAAAATATGGGGTTCAGGGACTTTATTTAAATCAAACACATACATCCATTACGACTGTGAACTACGAGGTCATAAAAGGACTATACAACGCAAATCCAGTAAGGGGCTCTGGATGAAGGTGCTGGAATCTAGCTTAATCTAGGATTTCAGTAAAATTTTCGCCGGCAATTTCTGCTACCCATTACTCAGCTATTAGAAAATTGTACAAGTCTCATATCACGGCTATCTGCCAAGCTGCTAGCTAAAATATTGACCAATAGGCCATTTGCGAGTTGGCTTCGCCCCCGTGTCAAAATGAGTCTTTGTGCCAAACCAATTCATATGTTCATTTTCAAGTAAATCAAACTCATTTTCAAATGAAAGGTTTTGCGCGAGGGCTTGTTTAAGTAACTTAGAAATGCTTATTCCCAGATGTCAGTTAAACCCCATCCAGACCCTCAGTTAATTGCACAAATATTACCAACGACGAAGAAATCGTAACTGCGGTAAACATTATATGTCAAGGTGAAGAACAAATACGAAAGCTATTGCTGGAGGACCTCAACCTGTGAAACTACGCTGATGAGTGGTTTACTACAAAAACAAATAGTTTATAAAAGCAAGACCGGATAACTGGTACTTACCGTAACACTACTAATACAAGTTAAAAAGAGAAACGTTTATACTGTTTATAATATTCGGCTGTGGAGCCATCATTTGTAGCAAGTTATGGAACGAGTGCAAACTAGGAGTAGACATACACGAAAGCCTCTCCAACGAGTCCAGTGACTTCACTTGAGTTGAAGTTAACGGAGAGGTTACGAAATCCCGACCTTCTTTGCGGTAAAGATACCGCAAGGAAGGCGGCAGTTATCTCTTCTTTCTGGTTAGGAAGTATTGTGTCCCTAAGATATCCAGAAAATAAAAACAGAAAAAGAAAAAGAAAATATTAAGAAAATATATAGAAAATATCAAGAAAAAAAATCAAGAAAAGAAAAACATCATACCTGTTGCACTCCCCCCGCCCCCCACCCCTACCTGGACGCCAGGAAAATCCCAGATAAATCAGGTTCCCTAATGTTCAGACCCAAGAGAGCTGGCCAGGGGGAGATAACAGGAAATTGCTGCAGGGATTTCTGATAATTACCCAGCAGCTGCAAAATATCACCAACACTGGATCGAAGACCGGAAGGGTACTCTCAGAAAAATTAGGTGGGCGTGTGCAGCCCGCTTCCCAAAACCCTTACCCGATTCACGACCAAAACTCTTCGTTTTTTCCTACACCGTTTATGACCTGACCAAAAATGCGATACCCTATTTATGACCAAAAACGGCTGATAAACCATACCCTTTGTAGCCGCACATACCTATAGAGCCCATATAAGGGAGTACCCGCCCCCCCCTCTCTCTAGTCAGAGAGTGCTTGTGCATATTGTATTACGTGAATTAGCGAAACCTTAGTTCGCATTGTGGGTGGCAAGCATGGTAAAAATTGCAGGATTTGCATGGAAATATCCCACGATGAGAACCAGAGAGTTATCAAGGCAAGCTAGCGGATTGTAAAGCCAACTTTCAGCTCAACTGGCGCATAGCTCTTGGCGCTCATCTTATGTAAATAGCAATTTCTATTTTAATTTTTCGTTATCAAATATTTTGTTGCTCGGAAATATTAGCTGGT